TTTTTTTTGGTTATGAAACGCTTTTTTTTCTTAGTTAGGCAAAAACATCGAGTCGAACCAGCAGATGAACAATAAATTTCAGGGAGAGATCCAAAGGCCTAGGAACCGCAACCGAAATTGCCTAACTTTATAGGTGAAGTCGAAACAAAGCCTAGATCCAAACCAAGAAACGATTCGTCCTTAGCTGGAGTAACCGAACACCCCTCACCCGGCTAATACCACTAGCTTAGACCAGCACAATCCCAGCATGCTAACACCACTTGCCGAGTACAGAAGCGTCGGCTCAACCGGACCACGAAAGAGAAGAAAGGAGAGAAGAGCATATAAGACCCTCCACTCCGACCGCCCCGACGCGAAGCGCCACAAACCGCCGGAGTGTCGCCCCACCCCCTAATCCACACTCCACCCAACGTTGATGCAACTCAAGTAGACTTGTCAAAACGGACCGGCGGGACGGGCCGGCCGCTCGCCATGGGCCGCGGGTTAGGCAAGTTTGCCCGTCAAATTTAACAAAAATAATAATAATAAAAATAAAACCTGCTGGCCCGCCAAATGAAAAAAATAAAAATAATAAAAATAAAACCATCACTTGAATAAATAAGGCATAAGCCACCAGCTGCAACTTAATTAAAAAACCAGGTTCACTCTTTATTTGTTTAATCAGTTTTTATTTTTTAATTTTATTACTTAACGAATAAAAAAAATATTAAAAATCAACGTTACATAACTTAACTTAGGCGTGCACGCGATTCCTTTGCAAATAAAATACATAGTTACATAACTTACATTACATACATTAATTTATTTTTTATTTTTATCTGTAATGGCGGGCCACCAACCTCGCCCTGCCAAAACCCGCGGCCCGCCATTTGGGGGCCTATAAAATGCGAGCCCAACCCACCTGTTGGGCGAGACGGGGCGGGCCGACCTGCGGACCCTGACCCGTTTTCACAAGTCTAAACTCAGGGAAGCCAGCGACCGAAATTCGCGAGGCCTCGCCAGGGGAAGAAAAGGCCGTTCAAGCCACAGCGTCCGCCATCGCAGAGCACATAGGGAGGCGCACAAATTTAGAGAGAGGGATGAGCGGTCGAGGGCGACCACTGGCAGAGCCCCGATTTTGCCGAGGAAGGCGGACTGAAGGTAAAAAGGGGGAGACGGTGTCTGCGGTTTTGGGGAGAAGGGTTTTGAAGGTGTCGGCGCAAACTTTTTATATATTTAAAAAACAGAATTGAACTGCAGCAAATTGCACAGTTCGACTCAATTTTTTTTGGTTTCGTCTTGATTTAGCTCACCCTTAGTTATGGTTAGGCAGAACTAAAACAAAATCTAAGTACATACGATTTGGTAGATATCACTACAAAAAAATACTACAATTCTAACGGCAAAATTTTTCGTTGGAAATTCCAATGAATATTCCAACAAACTTAATTTTATGTTGGAATAAGTGTTAGATAGTTGAGGAATTCCAACGGATTTTTTCCGTTGGAATAGCTGCAGGAATTTATTTCCATAGGATTTTCCGTTGGATATTTGCTATTCCAACGGCCGTTTTTCCAACGGATTTTT